TGGGGGGGTGGCACAACCCACCCCAGCACCCCCCTAGATCTGGCCATGGTTTCCAACCTGATGCCTATGACGGTAGATGCAGCAGCATTGCCTGGGAGGGCAGCATCCAGGCTGGACCTCTCTATGCTGGACCAATCCAGGACAAGACCCAGAGCTCAGTGTGCTCACTGAATATCCTAGCATGCCATCAAAGCCTGCCTCTCTGTTGATCTAAAAATGTTGATCTCTGAGTCTATAATATGTACCAGAGTCAACCTCTAATAGTAAATACAGTGTGTTTAAAAAAGAATGACCGAATTTCAAATAGTTATATTAAATGATGAAAATGTGTAGCACTACCCCTGCACAGCCAGGCAATAAGTATTTTCTATTCAAACGTGTACTAGGAGATAGTAACCACTCCTTGAGCTTTGTTCTGAAGTTTTATCAGGTGGTTTAGCACTTGGATGGGGTAAGGGGTACATGGAATGCCCAAGGGAAATGCCAACTGAGGACAGAACTCCTTAGCAACTATGTGCAAGTCTTTACAGCAAAGTCTCTCTTCTGGAGAGCTAGCCAGCATCTCATAAAGTACCACCCCAGACCACAGATGACTCCTCTCCTCACCATCCAGCTGTACTTGGTGAATCCCTGGGCAGGGCATCCAGTGCCCGCCACTGCAGTGTGAAACAGTCCCAGGTAAGATAGAAAATCCATTTCCACACTAAAGTGCTCCTTTTCCCTTACTGGCCCAGGGGTGGAAGTTTGCTCATTTGCTCCCTCTCCTGTGCTGCTAGTGGGTTGATGGCTGCTACCAGACCTTCTAGCTGGGCTACTCCTTCCCTGTAACACAGGCGGTCCTCTCTCAGGGGGCTGGTGAAGTCCAAGCTTTCCACCTTCCAAAATCCTCTGCCTGCAGGTGAGCCCCTCTCCATCTGGGCCCCCTCACAGGCTCCTGCCTCTAGCCTCACATCCTTCTCTCTCTTCCACATCTCATGTCCAACTCTCCTCTTGCTCCTGCTGCTGGGAAGGCACCCTTACCCTTAAGGGTTGTCCTAGCCCCTTGTCAAGCCTCCTGTTGGGGATTGGCCAGGATTCATCAAGAGTACAAGTTAGCTACTCCTCAGATCCACCTACTGCCTCTGGACCTTCCTTCAAAGCTCTACAGCAGGGGGAAATTCCAGAGGGGCTGGCCTGCAGAGCCTCTCAGCTCTGACCCAAATTTCACTTCCAGACTATCACACCCAGGCTGCTACTCAGCCATCCTGTCAGACAATCAGGATTCTAACTCCTTCTAGCTAACTAGGAGGGCACTACAAATGTGTTACAGTTGCATAACAAATTACAAACTATTTAGTAAATCCTCACGTTTCACTCACCAGGTTAAAAATGCTCTATGTGTCCTCCACATGCTGCACAGATAACATGAAGATAGCTGAATTCGTCCCCAATGTGTGTTTTCTTCCACAGAAGTTACTGCAACCGTGATTCTGTTTTTGAGCTCATCCAAGTCAGTAGTCAATGGTGGAACATAAACACATTGTTTTACTTATCCCCACAAGAAAAAGTCAAATTGTTTAATGTCTTGAGATCTTCGGGGCCAAGAGTGTAGTGCCAAGTCTTGGGGTCCTGTGCAACCTATCCAATGTTTAGGCTATGTTTTCTTTAGAAACCGACAAACTTGGTTGTGCAATGTGGCAGTGCTCCATCTTACTGATGAATGAAATCTTCAGAGTCTTCATTAAGTGGGAAAAGTTAGTTCTTCAGTATTTCAAGATAGGAATGTTCCATAACAGTGTTTCCCTCAAAAAAAAAAAGGGCCATAAATCTTTGTAAACAAAATTGCACAAAAAACATAAATTTTTGGTGAATCTCACTCATGCTGTACAAGTTTGCATGGCTTCTTAAGTTCCCATATGAAAACATTGTGACGCGAAACTTTACCAGATGAAACTTTCCTTCATTGCTAAAAATGAACCGTGGTAAGAATCTGACGTCCTCCATGTTGTCTAGGTGCATATGACAGAAATCTAAATGTTTTCTAATGTCACTTACATGAAGAGCTTGCACTAGTTGCAATCAGTATGGTCTTAACATTGTCTTAACACATGCCAAACAGTATGAGGGTTGAAAGTTCTCGGCTAGCACAACAAGCGGACTTGTGTGGGCTTCACTGATAAGCCAATTGAATTTGTTGCACATTTTCCTCTGAAGTGCATGGTTGCCCTGGAATCTTCCCCTTGCGTAAACACCCTGATTCTTCAAATGTTCTTTGCCACTGGTGAATCAATTCCAAAATGCTGTTGAAATGCACGCTGCACTGTTATTATGGACTCAGTTTTGATAAATTGGAGATCATGAATGTGCTTCTGACACTGCCCAAGACTGACAGAAAACGAAGGTTACCCTGCAGGCAAAGCAGAAAAGATAGGAGCAGCATCACAAGTAACTCCAGACACTTAGCGATATAGATGAGGATGGATGCTACTGTGACCAAGACCCTATGGGCGGGGCGAACTGTGTCAGGGGGCGTGGTCAGAGTGACGACTGGGGCCATCCTACCACATCCCTCTCTGACTCCTGGGATTCGGTTTGAGAGGCGTCCATCCTCATCTATATTGCTAAATTGGAGAACACAAAATACCTTCTGTTGCATAGACGCCATCTTGTTAATGACTGAGGTTAGCGGCTATTTGGGCTGTATTAAAGGTATCTAGTGGCCATCATTTGAAATTCTAGGCCACACTCATTCATTCGCAGTGCGTGGTTGCACAGATATAAGGTTTTTAAACATTTTTAAAAATCAGGTCATTCTTTTTCAGACACACTGTATATCTCTTATGTCTCTTGATATCAGAGTGGATTGGATAGTTTGTTCCCCAACCATATAGATGGTTTATTATATTTACCACTGCATATAGATATTCAAGAATACATTGTCTTTTTTAAACTTCACATTTTAACTAAATATACACCAGACTTTTTGGAGGTTTTTATCCGATTGATCGAAACAATAATTGGCCAACTAATTGATTATGTAAATAATCATTAGTTGCAGCCCTAAACAGGATTACTCTTTAAACTGCACATGGGCATATTAATAAAGCAGTTTATCTGACCTTTACCAAACATTCACTGTAGGTGAATCTTTCTGGTGCATGTGTTTAAAATGACAGTGATTCATATACCACCATTGAATATTTGGTGAAAGTCACAGTCACTGATTCATAAACAGGCCCCAAAGTGTTTCTAAACCAAAGCAAAAAAGTGTAGTATATTGTAGCTCAGCAGTCTTTAGATGTGGGTGCCACATTCATTTTCACATAAGTGTTCAGTCTTTGTTTCCATAAATTATGACCTTGTAATCCTGCCAGTAACACACTTCCTGTTCTGGGGTGACAATGCTCACTACCTGTACTACTGTATATTTTCAGAGGAGCGGGATTTTAAAGCCTGAAAGTCTTGCCTCCCTTTGAATGATTCGGCATCCATGAGTTACCACATTGTCACTGACCCCTAACTTGATCTTCTTACAGGTTGATTGCCTGATCCAGGATGACATAATCCTGTGCATGTGCTTGTGCACAAGAGAATATTTATTCCTCAACTAAGGCATGCTGCCCATTTATGGCTCAGTATACATTTAGGAGATGAGCAGCTGGCAGGTGGAAGAGAAGCTTTTTATTGCAGAAGAAATATACAGAATCTCTTCTGCAATAAAATTACACCTGCCAGAAAATGTTCACATATAGCTATAGTTCCACTTTAACTCTAGACTGCTTGCTCCTGATTTGAGTCGCAAATACCTCCACTTCTCTTGACCTTCACGGAAGAATGGCAGAGAGCTGAGAAGACTGAACACATTGTGGTTGATTTACTAAAACTGGAGAGTGAAACATTTGGTGCAGTTGGGCATGTGTCACGTACCTGATGGAAGACTGAATTGATGAGGTTGGCCTCACTTGTCTCACTAGCCCTGACCCCGCTAAGAGTTGAAAGAGAGGGAGTCTAGGACCCAGGGGAACAAGAGTGCCAGTAGTTGTTGTTTGCAGCTCTTGCAAATGAATACCTTGGAAGGCTGATGATCCTCTGATCTTGGCACAGGAGTAGCAGGCAGAGCAGGTTTGGTAGATTGCCAGGCGTGCACCAGAGCATGGCAGGCAGTGAGGACAAGAGACAGGAGCAGTGTCATGGAAAAGCCAGGGTCATCAACAGTCAGGCAGAGCGGTATAGAATCAGAAGGAAAAGCCAAAGTCAGGAGCAGAGCCGAATTCAGGAACCAGGAGCAGGAGAGTCATCAGAGTCAGGTGAGGAACAAGCTGGGTCAGCAACAAAGGAATCACACAGTAACAAACAGGACACAGGGGGGAGCTGAAGACCAGTCAGCACTGAACATGAACAGAGACACTCCTTAAATTGGCCGCCTGACGCCAATCTTCGCCATGCGTGTGCACGTGCGTGATCGCACATTTCCGATCGCGGTTCGTCTTGCCGGAAATCCCTTACAGCATGGTGGCCAATCAGCTGCTAACTTCAGCTTGTTCAATTAAGCTTTTACAAAAAAAGACCTGCACCAAATTTTGTACCAGTTTTAGTAAACCAACCCTATTGTTTGAGATTTCAGTTCAGTGCACGGGAAGTTATAATGATATTGGATTTCTGGCAGGATCAGTTTTTTTTCTGATCTAATGCAACCACCATGTCTATGGACTGGTAAGCTGCAATATATTACACTTTTTAGTGTTTAATACCACTTTAGGGCTACTTGCACATCTTGGAGTTTTATCATATTATATTATTATATTATATAATATATTGATATTACATTTTTGTTGTCTGGTTTAGGTATACAGTACTATAATTTGTAACTCGTATACAACATCTTTTGTTTGCTAATATTCACATGCAATGATTTTATGGATAAGTCATATATACACTATATTGCCAAAAGTATTGGGACACCCTTCCAAATCATTGGATTCAGGTGTTCCAATCTCCTCCATGGCCACAGGTGTATAAAGTCAAGCACCTAGGCATGCAGACTGCTTCTACAAACATTTTTGAAAAAAATGGGTCGCTCTCAGGAGCTCAGTGAATTCAAGTGTGGTACCGTGATAGGTTGCCACCTTTGTAATAAGTCCATCCGTGAAATTTCCTTGCTACCAAATATTCCAGAGTCAACTGTTGTATTTTAACAAAGTGGAAGCAACTGGAAACAACAGCAACTCAACCACGAAGTGGTAGGCCACGTAAAACGACAAAAAGGAGTCAGATCATGCTGAAGTGCGCAGAAGCCGCCAACTGTCTGCAGAGTCAATAGCTAAAGACCTCCAAACTTTGTGTGGCCTTCAAATTAGCACAACAACAGTGCATAGAAAGCTTCATGGAATGGGTTTCCATGGCCGAGCAGCTGCATCCAAGCCTTACATCACCAAGTGCAATGCAAAATGTCGGATGCAGTGGTGTAAAGCACACCACTTCTGGACTCTAGAGCAGTGGAGACATGTTCTCTGGAGTGATGAATCCCGCTTGCAGCCATGTGCTTGTGGCAAAAGAAAGATGCACAAAATTCCTGCATGTACATGCCAGAAACAAAGCAGATCATGCCCCTGCAAGGTTGTGGAAGGACCAACCAGGACACCATGTGTTCATGACAGAAAGACAGATGTGACTTGAGTTTGATTCTTGTACGAGGACAGTTGCCAAGATCTGAATGTGTTTGTGGCAGAAGAAGGAAAAAAACCAGGAATCTGCTTTCATGGCAGACTGAGAAAGGACCAGTTTCCTAGTGTTTAGGGCAAGTGGAGCATGGGCTTGACCCTTGTTTTTTTGGGTGGTGGAGGGCAAACGAGGCCCATTAGTTTATGGCAAAACATCTATCTATAAATGTGTATTGCCCTGAATTCAGTACCTCTCAAACACAGTAAATGGATTTGTGTACGTGGCCTGTAAAGTTAGAATTTACATTCATAACTAAATATACAATGGTCTTAAAAGGTTTATGTTTTAACCTGGGCTGGGTTTACCTTTAGGCTTAGTAGGCCTGTGCCAATAAGGCCCCTTTCACATGATCAGACCAATCAGGTTCGCCTGTCCAATCCTCTAAAAACAGACGGATGGGGGATTCATTCCTAATCTGTCTAGCGGATCAGATGAAAGTTGGATGTGGGCATGAGGACAGTGTGCTGTGTCCATGTCTGCTCTGCACAACGAACACGGACCTGTCATCCACCTGCTCAGCAGGGATCAGTGGACAAATCCCCCCTAAGTAGGCAGATCTGCTTGGCGGAGTCTGCCCATATGAGAGGGGCCTAATTGTCTCATATGAGTTTATTGTCACAACTAGAGATGAGCGAATCGAACCAGGCGAAGTGGAATTCGTTTCGAATTTCAGGAAAAATTCGATTCGCGGCGAATCCGAATATTAGCATACTTCGGGTGCGCGATCGGATTTTTCCCGAGCAGCCGGCAAAAGTGTCCCTGCAGAGAGCTCCGCTATTTCTGACAGTTCTCTGACAGTTCCTTCACATGTACAGCGGTTGAAACATTGTATCTATTTGTTTCCATTTAGGATACAGATGTTTTTACCTTCGCGTACCTGGTGGTTGAGTCTGATGTGGAGAGGTAGGCTGCTCTTACACCTCCGACTCAAGGGCTGTGGTAAGGTAAGGAAGCACAAGTGACACGAGTGGCTGTCAGTTTTTGCAGTAGCTGGTGCTGATGAGTTGTTTGTGTGTCCCCAGAAGCTGACTGCACCGTCAGGTCGGAACGAGTAACAGGTAATGCAGGAAATGCTATAAAGCAAACGTCAAGAATCCAGTGCAGCAACTCTTCAGGAATGCCTTCCAAAGGATTATCAAAGTTAATACATGCAAATAGACTACAAGGGGGGTATGGAAACAGTGGAAAAGAACCAACTGGAAATAGTATAGGAGACAAGGGATTAAGTTTTGGAAAGCAGAAAATATAGCAAGAGGGGAAAGAGTTGATGAAGGAAGAGAAAAAAGGAAAAGAAAATTTTAGGAGAGGAAGTTTTTAAGCTTAGTCATGTAGCTCTCATAGAAAATGTCAGCACCTGTGGTAGTGAGCCCTTGTAGATAGTCAACTTAGGGTTCCCCATGGTGCAGAGTCTAAGCTCCACCCTGCTTTACCAGAGCCCCTGATGGTGGGGATGGACTTGTAGCAAGCTGGGACCAGGTCGCGGCCCCCGGGGTACGCCCAGCTGAGGATGAGACCGCTCGCAGGAGCAGAGTACAATGGGAGGAGACAAAAGGAAATCCGATAGACTAGCCGAGGTCAGGATGGGTGGAAAACAAGCACAGTCAGAGAATGAAGCCGGGGTCAGTACACGAGTAGTCGATGCAGGATACAGGAGATAGCAGCACACAGGAGCTCAGACTGTGACAGTGCGTGGTGTCAAACCCCAGCCCTTCTCACCAACTTGTGACCGAAGGACCAGCCGGTCTCAGACCGCGCTGTCACTTGCGTAACAATGCCACTCTCAGCTGCGCCCTACACAAAGATCTTCCAGCTCGCTGGACCACAATCTATGTGCCAGCAGCCTGGGAGTGATTGTTACTGGGTCAGGTTAATTACGCAATTAACCCTTCACACTGCCACCACCACCTTTTTACAGAGAAGGAGGAAACTCACAAATCTTAGCAGTAACACTATGATATTAGACTAAGCGTCTGTAATACACACTGCCACCACAGACAGATGTATGCAAAGGATTAATACATACAGGAGCACTCTCCAGAGACAGGGATTCTTAGTTTGCAGTAAGAGCTTTAGAAACAGTTCAACACTTTTCAGAAAATAGGATTTATTACTAAAAAGGTCAAAATGGTGCAATTAAAGTATTTACAGAAAAAGATGTAACAAATATATATATATATATATATTTATATTTTATATATGCATACATACACACCCCAAAACTTAGCATTCAGGTGTTTCAATAACCTCCATGGCCACAGATGTATACAATCAAGCACCAAGGCATGCAGACTGCTTCTACAAACATTTTTTTGAAAGAATGGGTCACTCTCAGGAGCTCAGTCAATTCAAGCGTGGTATCATGATAGGTTGTCACCTGTGCAATAATTCAATCCATAAAATGTCCTTGCTAGTGGTATTATAACAAAGTGGAAGCAACTGGGAACAACAGCAACTCACCCATGAAGTGATAGACCACGCAAAATGACAGAGCAGGATCAGCACACGCTGAAGCGCACAGTGCACAGGAGACGCCAACTGTCTGTAGAGTCAATAGCTAAAGACCTCCAAACTTTGTGTGGCCTTCAGATTAGCACAACAACAGTGTGTAGAGAGCTTCATGGAATGGGTTTTCATGGATGAGCAGCTGCATCCAAGCCTTACATCATCAAGTGCAATGCAAAGTGTCAGATGCAGTGGTGTAAAGCACGCCGCCACTGGACTCTTGAGCAGTGTAAACCTGTTCTCTGGAGTGACGAATCACGCTTCCATCTCTGGCAATCTGATGGACGTGTCTGGGTTTGGCGGTTGCCAGGAGAACAGTAATTGCCTGACTGCATTGTGCCAAGTGTAAGGTTTGGTGGAGGGGGGATTATGGTTTGTGGGGTTCTTTTACAGGGGTTGGGCTTGGCACCTTTGGTCCAGTGAAGGGAACTCTTAAGGCATCAGCATACCAAGACATTTTTGGACAATTTCATGCTCCCAACTTTGTGGGAACAGTTTGGGGGTGGCCCTTTCCTGTTCCAACATGACTGTGCACCAGTGCACAAAGAAAGGTCCATAAAGACATGGATGAACAAATTTGGGGTGGAGGAACTTGACTGGCCTGCACCTCAACCCGATAGAACACCTTTGGGATAAATTAGAGCGGAGACTGCGAGCCAGACCTTCTCGTCCGACATAAGTGTCTGACCTCACAAACGCGCTTCTGGAAGAATGGTCAAACATTCCCATAAACACACTCCTAAACCTTGTGGACAGCCTTCCCAGAAGAGTTGAAGCTGGTATAGCTCCAAAGGGTGGGCCAACTCAATATTGAACCTTACGGACTAAGACTAGGATGCCATTAAAGTTCATGTGCGTGTAAAGGCAGGAGTCCCAATACTTTTGACAATATAGTGTATATATAGCACCCTCTAGTGTGCTACTAGTGTAGTGTAGGTAAATCTATTGTGTATGACTCATGGTAATTGTGCGAGTGTGTAATTAAGGTCGGGTCACTGCAGGTCAAGCTGGATAGCTTAAGAGGGTGGGATTCTATCATCTCCATCTGGCTCTGAAGGACCATAGAACCTTCTAGAAGTCAATGGGCAGAAGAGTTGGAAAACTAACCTGCAAAGTGCCCGCTAGAAGCGTGGGAGGGTGGTGGACAGCTTGCAGCGAAATAGCTGTCCACTGAAGCCTGACATTCTAGGTCAGGGTTTAAATAGGGGCTGCCATGTGCTGTTGAAAATTCTACAAAAGTCACATGCCTATGCCTTTTCCCGCCACTGCTACCCAACAAGTAAGCCCTGAGGGGATTTAAAAGGGCAGTAACAATAAAGTAAGACAAAGGGGGAAGGAAGGAGAAAATAAAAAAGAAAAGAGAAGGAGATGAAAGGGGGTCTCCAAAAGCCTATGGAATGGGGCTCAAATAAGTTGTATCTGTCAGGGATCTCGTATAGCAGGTACTCATTCCAGTGCAGCAAGTGCTGATTTCTATTTGCATGTGCAGGGTCCTACGCATAGAAACCTAAATATACATGCAAAGACAAGAATGTGCATGTTCCCACAGGTCTTGGTGCCGGTGGCGTATTTAAACCCAGGGTCTGCCTGGCCTCCGTGCTGGATTGTCTTCAGCTCTGGTCCTGTATTCTTAGTTCCTGAAAGTTTTCTTATCTTGTTACTGACCCTGACATCTATCTTGGATCACCCTTGCCTGCTATGTCTGCTGCTCGCTTGCGTTAATGATCTCAGCTTGGATTTCTGACCACGATTCCATGTCCTGACCTGGTACCTTGCTGCCAGCATGTTACCGACTTCTGCCTGTTCCTAACCTTGAACTTGATCCTGACCCTACACCTGTTTGCCTGGCCGCTGCTGAACATACTGTAGCTTGTGGCCAGACTCCATACTGTCACCGGAAGGACTTCTGTATTTCAAAGCTCAAGTTTACTAGCGCTAGCTTCTTGGCATTGCTCAAAAGGCCACCCTCGTCATCTTGGGCTTCACAGTCAGGTACATGAATATCCCCCCTTTCCATTCTGTAAAAGACCTTGCTTCCTTTTTATTTTCTCATGTTGTTTGTTTTAGACTGCCGCGTATTGGTTTTACTGCTGTTCTCTGTCCTGTTGAGGAGATTTTTCTCCCAGAGATGCAACAGTATGTAAGAGAAAATCTCTTCAAAGTGAGAGAAATTCCCCTCCTAGACAGTTGTCACCAGAACATACACTCACTAGCCACTTTATTAGGTATACCTTGCTACCTGGTGTGGTCTTCTGCTGCTGTAGCCCATCTGCTTCAACGTTCGACGTGTAGTGCATTCAGAGATGGTATTCTCCATACCTTGGTTGTATTAGGTGGCTATTTGACTTACTGTTGCATTTCTATCATCTCGAACCAGTCTGCCCATTCTCCTCTCACCTCTGACATCAACAAGGCATTTCCGTCCACACAACTGCCACTCACTGCATATTTTCTCTTTTTCAGACCATTCTCTGTAAACCTTAGAGATGGTTGTGCGTGAAAATCCCAGAAGATCCGCAGTTTTTAAAAACTGTCGGACACCAACAACCATGCCACATTCAAAGTCACTTAAAGTGTTATTAAACCAAGGACCCTGCATTCTCTCTATACGATCTCCCACAGTACACACTACATGGAAATGCAATTATTTTAGTAAATATAAACTGCTAAATACCTTTTCTCATAAGCAGTTTAGAGCAGTCTTGTGACTTCTATCAGTGTTCAGCAGAGCATTGGTTAAAAGAGTGTAGGAGGAGTTTTCTTTCTGCTCTTGGAGGATGCAACACCCCTGACCTCTGTCTGGACATGCTGATTGGCCCTGTGCTGATCAAATGCACTCTCACAAGAAAAAAAAAAACAACTATTTAGCAATACACACCAAACTGAGCATGTGCAGAGTGTCTCCAAATGATATATGTCTTATCAGGAGATAAGAGGGGGACACTGGAAGAAGGGGAGGATCAGAAAAGACGGGATCAAACAGTCTTTTTAACACAATGAAGGGGTTTTACAGTCAGTATATCAAGCATGCATTACAGACTAATTTTACTGTTGTGGGTTTAGAAAACACTTTTAAATCCCCTTTCTTCCCTATTCTGATGCTCGGTTTAAACTTCAGCAAGTCGTCTTCATCACGTCTAGATGACTAACCCCCAGGTCAAATCAAGCCCGACTTTGAAATCGTGCGACTTACAGTGAAGTCGCACAATTTCAAAGTCGAGTGAGATGCCGATTTCAAGTGTGATTTCCAAGACATCTGACACAGACGTCTATGCAAATGGCACCAAAAGTAGTGCACGTACTACTTTAGAAATTGGTGCGGCTCCGACCAAGCCTGAACCGCACTGATTTGACCGCTCTAACTGTGGACAATAGGGTGCGGCTTAGCATGCTATTTTCAAGTTGCACGGCATGCAACCGCATGCCAGGTCACACCCGATGTGACCTGGTTGTTAATGTATTGAGTTGCTGCCATGCGATTGGGGTGATTAGCAATTTGTGTTACTGTCAGGGAATGCACAGATCTATGTGCAGGCACAGAACCCCTGTAAGCCCGCCTCATGGCCGATTAGCATATGTTGTGTGTGCGATCGCACTTTGAAGTGTGTGCACAAGTGCACATGCGCAATAGCGCATAGGCTCCAGGCAGGCTATTTAAGCTGGGCTAGTGCCTTGCATTAGTGACGTTTGGTCTGTTACATTTAAGCAACCGTGCATCCTGTTAACTGTGATTCTGTTTCCGATCTGATTATTTGACCCTGCCTAAACACTGCCTGTACTGACCCCTGGCCTGCCCTTTGACTGTTCTTCTGCCTGCTGTTTTTATGCTTGCTCTGCCTGCTAGTTGCCGACCCGGACTGTCTGACCTTGCCTTACTCTGCCTCCTGCACCCGAACCAGCTGATCCTTGCTGGCATCAGGGGCGTATTTACCACAAGGCAAACAAGGGCACTTGCCTAGGGCTGCATTTTTTAGGGGGGCAGCACCTCCCCCCATGAAGAAGGGATGAAAGAAGGGACAAGCGCACCATGGGAACCAGGTGTGATCCGAGAGCGGCTGCGGGCTTGCTTGATGGTGTATGCAGAGCTTGGCTTTCCTTCCCGGGATGTTCAGAGCTGTGAGAGATGAGTGTCTCTCAATCGCTTGGGGGGGGGGGGGATAGTGGAATTCTCTTCCCGAGTGAGGGGCAGGGGTGTTGTTGGTCAATGTCAGGCTCTCTCTCAGTGGGAGTGGGAAGCGGAGGTTGTGTTGGTCGGTGTCTGTGGGGGCAGACGATTTTTGTGTTGCCTAGGGCAGCACAAAACCTAAATACACCACTGGCTGGCATCCACTTCTGCTAGCATGCAATCTGCCAGCTGCTCCTGCACCTCTGCCAGTGTGCCATCTGCCAGTCTGCTCCTGCACCTTTGCCAGCATTTCATCTGCCAGTCTGCTCCTGCACCTCTGCCATCGTGTCATTTGCCAGTCCGCTCCTGCAGTTCTGCCAGTGTGCCATCTGCCAGCAGTTCCTGCACTTCTGCCAGCATGCCACCTACCAGCAGCTCCTGCACGTCTGTCACCATGCCATCTACCAGCTGCTCCTGCACGTCTGTCACCATGCCATCTACCCAGCTGCTCCTGCACTTCTGTCAGCTGCTCCTGCATCCCAGACGCACGTCAACACCCACCTGCAGAAGTCCTACCAGGCACTCATGCACCTCTGTGCTCCGGCGCTCCCTGTTACTCTACCAGGGCCCCCGAGCAAGGGCACAAGGGAGGCCTTCCTCTGCACTCCAGGTTCTACCACCAGGTATGTTAGAGTTACCAAGCAATTAAACAGGCGTACCTAATAAAGTGGCCAGTAAGTATACTTTTTCTTTGGCAGATATACTCTAACCTCTTGTTCTGGTGGCAAAGCTCAATTCAGAAAATAGTGAACTCAGTGTAGAGTTTATTCACCTTGAGATCATGACAGAGGACAAGGGGGCACTCTTTATGTCTGGAGGAAAAGAAATTTAATCTCCAAATATGAAAAGGTTTCTTCACAGTGAGAGCTGTGAAAATGTGGGATAGACTCCCGCAAGAGTTTGGTTCTGCCAGCTCAGTGGATTGCTTTAAAAAAAAAAACATGGATTATTTTCTAGATACACAGAATATAAC